TAAGTCACTCTCTCATTCTTAGTAAGGATTCAAAAGATATGACGAGTCCGCCTGTCTAAAGGCGAACCAGATCTCTCGTACCCTGACCCTGCTAAGATGATTTCTTTTCAAACCAAACATGTTTGAAAATCTGGTTCGTAGGTCGACTGCTTTTTGGCAAGCAAGGACCCAAGAACTATTCTTGTTTTAACAAACAGGCGGGCTAGTTATAAACGGCCTGTTCCTTTCTAACCTGAAAAAGATAACCAAACCTAACGTATTTCCTAAAATATGTTGGGGGTCCGACTGGGTAAATGGCCAACTGATCGCCTAACCTGAAACCAAGACAACCAGTCGTCCAGGGGCATAGGCAGTCGTTACTTTATACATGTTCGCAATCTTTGGCTTACAAATTTTAAATAAATGGTTGGCTGAAACAGTCGGTATGACATGCAAGCGGATACCAAAGATCCTCTACACTTAGCAAAATATTCAAAGATAAAGCATAAAACAAAATTCAATGAGCAAAGACGACCAAAAGATGGTCACCAAATTCATAAAAACAGCCGGCCATAAAGACCGGCAAAATATTCATAGACCCCGGCCCCCTGGCCGAGTAAAGTGATACGAGAACGAACGGCGCACAGGCCGAAGAAAAATTAAAGACATTAAAGCTTTAAGATTGAGGCAGGGTTTTGGTATTGACTGCCGCCTGATCAGCAAGTGACGCCTGGTTCTGGGAGGCATCCTTCTTACTTGTCTCGGCATCAGGGGGCAGCTTCTTTAGACGCATCCACCTCAATCGGCTGCAGGGCCACATCCTCCACTTCCTCTTCTGAGCTGGACTCGGCCGCCTTGTCCTCATCAGCCGCCTGCCTCATGATCTGTTGATTGTACTTTTTAGTACAAGCGTTGAACTTTTTCTCCCAGGCGGCATAGTGAGCTTTTGGGAAGAGGGTTGTCCAGGTCATCTTCATAATCTGAGCTGAGTCCTCCATCATGGCTTGAGTTAAAGCCATCTTTTCAGCCTCAGCCTTCGCATTAAGATCTTTGGTGATGGTCGCCTCCTGCGTCTCTAGGCGCTCCTTGAGTCTGTCAAGGGACGTCTGCAGACCTTCAGCCTTATAGGCAATATTTTTAAGGGGCCGCAACTCATCGTTAAGGCTCTTGACCTTCGCCTCCAGCTCATTATTTTTCTTTTTGGCCGCCTCCTACTCGATGCGGATAGCGGAAGTGACATGCGCCTGATAATAAAGAATATCAGTTGTCAAAATTTCATTTTGGGCAATTTGAAACATTGCCTTATCAACGTCAGAGGCGACCATAGCTTTAACAGCCTTTACCTCTTTGTTCTTGGCGCTGATCGACCTTCGAAGGCCATGTACTCGCAGCATGGTCTGGATAAAGGAAAAACAGGCGTTAGATTTGAGAATACCAGGCGGCACGCAAAGTCAGCACTTTAATAATTTTCTAAGTCTACCTCGGAAAGGAGACCCATGATACCGTCTAAGTTAAGGGTGTCGACTCCTTTGACTGTGTCCCTCTCCTCTTGAGGGACGGCCTTAATCATAGACTTGACCACTTGGACCAACTCTGGTTCTTGAGGGCCGCCTGCATTCAACAAAGAGAAACATCATAAACATGAAGAAAGTGATGACCAAATAAAGATCAAGTCTAGTAGAGCTGTTTATACTTCTTGGCGGCCGACTGAGGACTTGTGATGGGTTCCCCACACTTTGTGGGGTGATTGGCTGCTTGTCAGTCGATTGCTTCCTGGCAGATCCAAGCGTACTCCCACCAGTCGTCTTCCGAACCTTCGAGTCCAGCTGTTGGGAGGAGGAGGGTTTGGAAGTGCCCGCCTGCGAAAAAGATGAATAGTCAATACTGATATAAGCAGTTTTTCAAGACAAGTTCTAAGGCTCGAAACTCACTATCGGCGTCTCCTTAGCAGGAGAATCAGAAGAGGTCCGCTTCTGTTGCATGATGGAGGCTCGCAGCAAGGCAGACACCTTCTTAGATGGATAAATTTGGTCCATAGCGTCAACTACAAACAAGAACCACAAAGAGTTAGAAAAAAAAAAATTCGAAAACAAACTAAAAGAAGTGTATATATACTCAAGAGGTCGGCTACCTCTGGAGGACCGACAGCTAATGCCGCAAGCGGCTAGAAAAAACTCGTCATTGAGCCATTGAAACTCTGGGACGTAGTTTAGGGGCACTTGCTCTCGTACCCCAGTAGTAGATTTTGCCCTAATCTCTACTTTGAAAAGCCCTCGATCCAGGATCTCTTTCCTGGCGGCCTTGAGGGGAACAAGCGGCATGTTGCGACCGCCTGCTAGAAGAGGCGGATCTTTGTTCCACCTATTGTAGCGCTTGTTCAGCAGCTTGTCAGGGCTGGCAATGATTAGGAAGGTGTTCCTCCAATCCTTCCATTTATTTTCTTTGCCCTTCGTCATCAGTAGCCTTTGTGGCTAGTTATTTGGTACCAGCCGGTACCGCTTGCTTTGGGGGTCCGGCTGAGATAGTTCATATGAGTGAACGCCTCAAAATTTGGCTCCACTCCGTGCATTTCACATCCGGCTACATAGCTAAGGATGTTGAACCAAGAATTCGGGGCTAATTGCCAAAGCCCCACCTCGTATCCAGCTTTGATGGCCGCCTCGTAATAGCCAAAACAGGCGTTCCCATAGCTGGATCCCGCGGGCCAGACGATCGTATCCGCACCATCCGGCACAAATACTTGACAATCCGGACCCATCGTATGGTCCGATAGAAAAGTGTCTATTCGTTCCTTCATGGCCTTGATCCGGCCCTTTGGTACATGACAATAGTAAGGAGTATTCAACTCCCTATGAGAGGCGGATGGTTCCGACCAGCCGTCCCCCTTTTCGGCCGCATGAGAAATTCTCGCCTCATGCAAACGAGCATGCCTTTCCTCTAAGTTTATAGAGAGGCGGCTTGAAGAGCTAGAGTCAGACTCACTATTAGAAGAGTCCGACTCCTCCCCTCTCCCTGAGGGGGCCGACCCCTCTTCTTCTTCAGGAGTCGTTTGTTGACTGGCCAGATCAACAAAGAAGTGGGAAGGAGCTACTTTAGCTCCCTCCTCAGAGCTCTCAGCAGAAGGGCCGCCTTGGGTCCTTGCGGTATCAGGCGGCTGGTCTGACAGCTCACTAATCTGAACCCGGAAAGAGGAGCCATCAGAGTTTTCAATTCTCTTGGTCTTTTTTGTTCTTTCCATACTGTCCTGCATGGATACAAAGACAGTTGGTTTCCGCGACTTGCGCAAAGTTTGAAGTACCGCAGGGCAGTCGGCACCCCTAGTCCTAGACTCAGCCGTCCCCGGTGACTGGCTGGTTGCTAACCTAGGTCGTGCCGGATGCTTTTGAGCCTCATTTTCAAAAAAGAAAGAAAAAGTGCAAAAGGAAAAAGAATAAAGGAATAGACGGTTACCTGAAACTTAAGTTCTGAAGAAGAGCTTGATCGAGTAGGCGCCTAGTAAAAACAGTTGTCCTGGCAGGTCAAGAGTTGCAAAGTGTTAGAGCTCAAGTTCAGGGGTCCGAGAGTTCTCTTGAAAAAGTTCGCAAATGTGAACAAAAGACTTGGTCAACATGCCTTTATATAGGGCAAAGGAGAATGCGAAGAGTCGCATCCAAATTCAAAAAACGAGCGGGAAAAATGCTCGGCCCGTCATAGGGCGACACCTGTAGCAGACCGTCGCCTGTTACAGACCGACACCTGTCACAGGTGACATGTGAACAGTCACGTGCCACCTGTGAGGGGAAAATGATTAGGGGATTTTTCCCTACCAATCATCATCTGACAAGTGGACCAATCAGGCCCTGCCATGTGTCCGCCACATGGGCTAATAGGAGCCTGCAACGTGTCAGGCGTTGATTTGCCCACCATGGACCAATTGTGTCACGCCACGTGGCCTCCATATGCCAAGCAGGTCAAACGGCCACCTAGGCCCAATTTCCAAGGGAAGCCCAGTCAGCCCTAGGTTAACCTAGACCTAGTATTTGGCACGTTTTCCCAAGGTTATAAATACTCTAATTAATCCTCATTAAAGGGGGATTCAACAATTAATTACCCTCACCTAGAGAACCTAAACACACTGATCACTCCTCCCCTAGAGGAACCATATCTCCCAACCTTTACTTTTCCGCATTTATTACTCCTCAAACAAGTACTAACTTGACCGTTGGAGGCGGAACTCCCACCACAAGGAGTCTCCGTTGTTTTGTAGGTACATGCACAAGGATAACAGTCCCGAAATTGTAACTCTCTCGTAGGACATCGAAAAAAACCCCGAAACAATAATTATGTGTTATTTTTAGAAGTAGACACAACATTTTGGGACACCCATAAAGAAATACAAACACAAAATTATGGAACGGAGGAAGTAATCAAAGTAATATTATGAAACTTTATAATACGGAGTAAATACACTAATACCTATCTACTAGGATGCACGGACACTTCGTCCAACAATCGTGTCCGTGTCCGACACCGTGTCGGACACCGACACTCGTTCGACACACGACGGACATACATAAAATCTGCATCCGGATTTTAATATATTTAGACACTATGAGACAAATCGTATCCTACTATGATACGATCCGGTTTGCATTGTGATATGTCACCTCATCTTTTTTAACTTTTTTAATTAGAAAGTTTAGGTAAAGTATGAGAGAAAAAGGTAAGAGTTATAATATGAGCTCCTTCAAAACACATTTCATAGCACATTATTGTATGTGAATTAGGAGAATGTTATTTAGCTACGGTAAATGACTTGTTTTAAGGTTAATTATTTAGTGTTTTGTTGAATAGGTTGTCAAAATCTTGTTTTTTTGATATATTATTTGTCTTGTTATTTGCCGTACCCGTGTCCCCTATTTTAGGATTGTCGTTTTGCCGTGTCCGTATCGTACCCGTGTCCGTGTCCGTATCCGTATCGGTACAACCTAGCCTATCTAACAATATATTTTAGAAAATAGTCTATTAAACCGAATGTGAGCAAAAATAGGAAAATAAGCGGTGGAATAAATTTCATTATAATTTAGTTTTTCCCTTAAAAATGGCAGTGAAAGTGACAGAGAGCGGGAACGCGTAGCTCTTTCTCCTTCCTCTCTCTGCTTTGCTAATTGCTTTGCTTGAGCTGACAGTCATTTCTCATCTTTCTCTTTTTTTTTTCTCTCTCCTTCCCTTCTTTATTAAGCTTAAATACCAAGCCATTTCCCATTTCTCGAGATCTGAGCTTCTTTCTCTCGTTTCTTGCTTCTTCCTTCACTTTCCCCTCTTCTAATTTCCCAGGTAATTTTTGTTGTGTATTGGGTCTTAATTTTATTCTTTCATACTATTTGAATTTGTTTTATTTTTTTGATCTGATTATCATGTATTGATTGTTGTTTTGTAGTTTGTTTTTTTGCTTGGAGTTTTTTCAAGTGTTTGCAACCCTTTTGTTAGTTACCGTCTCGGGTTAGTTTTCTCAACTAAATGGGTATTTAGATTTGGTTTGGTATGAGTTATAATTTGAGTGATGAGCTATTCGGGTTGGTTTTGGGTTGGGTCATATTTGATTGATGAGTTATTCGAGTTGGTTTTGGGTTGGGTCAGCTCGATTTTGATTGTCAACATGTCCAATTAACCTTCATAAATAAAATCAACTGCGAGTACTGTGTAATTTTACTGTACTAGAGCGAACCCGCTAATGCACACGGGATATCTATTCGCCAAAGAAAACAATACATGGAGTCCCTTGAAAAAAAAAAATTAGAAAATAAGTGGGATAGATAATTATGGGTGGTTTTCTATTTATTTTTTTTGGAAATGCGTAAGATTTGAGTATTGGGGTGATGAAGGATTGTGGTTAAACATTGTAAATATGACTACAATTATAATATAGATTGATTTTCGGGTTGGGGCAGGTCAATTACTAGAGGGTCTAAATCGAATGACCTTAGCTTAGGTATGGATACTAGATCGAGTTCAATTAACTGTTTTTATTTCGAATCAGTTTTGTCGAGTCTACCTCCAACTGTCTAGGATAATTAATTAATTACTCGTTAAGGTGTGGAGTGCTTTTTATAAGGACCGGAGGGATGGCCAGGGCCAAAGATGATTCTAATGTAGTTTTATGAATTTTGACTACCGTAATTTTTTAAATGGACGGTTGAGATTATTTGTTTTTTTATTTATTTATTTTTAATTAGTAATTTTAATTAAAAATAATTTATTTATTATTTTAAATATATTTTTATCTTCTAGAAATTATTTTTAATATTTCAAAATTCTGGATATAAATAATATTTATAAAATAATTAAAAAAAATAATGTATGAGTAAAATTACTAATTAAAGATAAATAAAAAAAAAAAAAAAACAACCTTAACCATCCATTTTATAAAAATTATGGTAGTCAAAAGTCATAAGACTACATTAGAATTTTCACAGGGCCAAGGGTTGCTAAGCTGAATATTAGAATGTAATATTTCAAAACTTTAGCTAATCTATTTTATGTCCACATGATTTGGGTGTGATTTTTAGATTTGGTTTAAAATATTGCAATTCACATGTAATGCAAGTTGTAGTTCTAGTTACAATTTATATTTCAACATTAGTTAAATTAAATGGGATTAATAATTGATGGTATCATTTTTTATAAAGCGTTTAGTCATCTAGTAATTTAATGTAGTCTTTCCAATAGTCAAGGGTCGAATTTTGTTGCTAACGTGGGAGCATTAATTTTAATTATGTCTTTGACTTCATTGTAGTATAACTGTTGTGCTTCATAACATTTGAGGTTTCTATTTCAGCTAGAAAACATGGTTTCTCCCATTGAGACTGAGAAACAGACACAGGAGGTTGAAAAGCCGACGTACAAGTACTCCAGACATCCGTGTTTGAATGAGAGAATTCTTTCGTCCATGACCCGGAGATCAGTTGCTGCACACCCTTGGCATGATCTTGAGATTGGTATATCATTCATCCTTATGATCATTTAATCGTCATGTTGTATTTTGGAACGTTGAACCCTTCATTTAGTTTCGTGTTTCATTTCTGAAGTACTTGTTCATGTTTTTTCTGTTGGTTTTTGTGTAGGTCCTGGAGCTCCTGTTATTTTCAACTGTGTAAGAAACTTCAACTTTAGTTTTGTATGCTAATTCTAATTGTCATGAATAGATTGCGAATCAGTTATCTTTCTTATTGTTTCTGTTTCGTTTGTTTTGTGGTAGATAATTTTTCAACAGAAGAGTTGCTAAACTGGATATGCTTGTTAATTGTGAAACTGTGTAGTCTTTGAGAACAAATGACGAGTTTAACTAATTTTGGTATTAATGTTGAAACTTGAAATGTTGAATACTTCGTATTTGTTCTTGAGGGACACATAGTTTAAGGCCATAGGGGTTACATTCAGTATACCTTACCCTAGGCCTACTTAGGATGGAAACTCTTGAAAGGCTTTTGATAGTATTGGTGCTGATGTTAAAAGTTCAATCACGATGGAGATCCTAGGAACATTTTCTAGATTAAGATTTGAATGAAGAGGAAACAGAAAATTAATGCTAATTTGATAATGAAGCTACAACTTGTTGACTACCTGTTTCAGTCTGCACTTTATTTCGAATTGGTCATCCTGCACATAAAAGATATAAAAATTTGATGTAGTGTATCGAGTAATTGTTTGAGCAAGTAGTAAAAAGTTAATTAAATAGTTATGACATCACAGATTTGTCACGTTATCTATTGTGTACATGCTGAAATTAGCTGAAGAATGTTTTAAAAGATATACCTTCCTTCAATGATAGAACACTGTAATAGCAGGATCTTTATAAGCTCCACTAGTCTGCCTTTATTGCAATTAGTGTTCGTGTCTTTTCCTTTTCTAAAGTTCTCCATTATTTGTGTGTCTAGTAACTAGTAGTTGTCGTTGCTTATGTATTGGCAGTTTTGGCACTTGGCCTCTTATGAATACCCTTGTTTCCTCATTGCTTGCTAAGCAACCCAAGCATACAGGACTGAGAATTTTGATCTTGTACAGTCTTTTTTAGGTGAAATTTTTTAACAATGTTAATTTGACTTTATCATTGACATGTTTATATATCCGGGATCAACAAAATATACGTCTACTTGTTTTTCCTGTTTAAGGTTAAAAACCAAACAATAGAAATAGAATTCAATGAAGGACCTCTGTTTGATGAAATGATATCACATAAATGACATTTTTTTGCTATCCTCGTGACATCACATTTTTTGAGAGGAAAAATTCATGACAGTAGGCTGCTATCCTTCAGGAAGCATCAGTTTATAAAAGGCTCTATTATAATGGGACAACTTCAACTTTGTATCTAAAGTATATGTGTAAATCCCATGGAATTTCGCTGTAATGTTTGATTGAAGCACACGTCTTCTATAATCAACATTCTATACTAGGAAATTAAAAGCTTTTTTTTTTTCAGCCTTTTGGCTTTGGCAGTAGCTATATAAACCTATAGTGGCTTTGCTGTTAGCTTTGAACCACAAATATGCAATATGAGAATCTCTTGAGAGCTTTTGCCAGAAGATGACCTTAGGATTTTAAGATTAATTGGCTTTAATAGAAGAGATATTAACATAATATGTTAGGTTAGTATCTGCTGATGTACTGATCTTGAATGCAATTTTCATTCGATAAATTCATATATCTAAATTCCAAAGTAAAGCTTGCAAAATTGAAGATCTGGAACACTTCGTTTATTATGTTAAGTAGAGTTGATTCAGTATGAAGGTTCGGTTCCACGGCTTTAACCATTCATGCATCCTTGACTTCTGCAGGTCATTGAAATAGCTAGAGGGAGTAAGGTCAAATATGAACTAGACAAAAAAACTGGTTTAATTAAGGTATGAAAGTGAGATTGGTTGTATTTCTTACTTGTTATGGTTCATTTCAGAATAATATTTCCATCTATCATAAGTTACTCTCGTGCAGGTTGATCGTATCCTTTATTCATCAGTTGTATATCCCCACAACTATGGATTCATCCCTCGAACACTTTGTGAAGACAGTGACCCCATGGATGTCTTGGTGATCATGCAGGTACTTTGTAGATGGAACATGTAGGATACATATATGATATATGTGCGTTTGTTTTATTTATTTATTTTTTTATAAAAAAACTTTTGCTGTCAATTCAGTGTTCATATGTTTCTTTAACAACAAAAGATAAATTCTCAACCGTTCATGTCAAAATTTCAAATTGAGATAAAGCTTTGCTGTCGTAGCTTGTGGTCAGCCCATTAGATCAATGTAGTTCTGTTTTTCAATTTGTTGACTAGCATTAACTCAGATTAGTCATCAGTCATTAGTGCTAGCCAAAAGTGCTGCAGGTTCTTGTATTCTTAATGAGCTGTAACACTGACTAGCTGACCTTATAAGTCAATATCACATGATGAAGAAGAATCCATCTTTTTTTTAATTATAGTTTTATCTACGCCTTTACAGTTTGCCATTCTGAATTTTTCATGTTTTGTTACGTCATCTGTAGAGTTTTTTAGCTTTATTATCATTTAACATTTGGAGCTTGGCTTATAAAATTCTGTAAATTTATTGTTTTCCAAATTTGTAGGAGCCTGTTCTCCCAGGATGCTTCTTGCGAGCAAAAGCCATTGGATTGATGCCAATGATTGATCAGGTTCCTGTGTTCATCCTGGAGTAAATTTGTCTCACAGAAAAGAAAGTTTGCTAACTATTCATTGTACAGGGGGAGAAAGATGACAAGATAATTGCTGTTTGTGCTGACGATCCTGAGTACCGTCATTACAATGACATAAAGGAACTCCCACCACATCGTTTGGCTGAAATACGTCGCTTCTTTGAAGATTGTATCCTCTCAATTTGCTTTTTGTTTGTTTTTGAAGTTTCCATTCATTTCCTCTTTCGATCTGTAGGCTGTGGCAGTTTCTTCTTCCTTTTGCTATTACAACTGGTATTAGTACCTATTTTTGAGAATCTCTTTATTTCAATTTGTTTTTGCCCTTGACGACTTCTCCAGATAAGAAAAATGAAAATAAGGAAGTTGCGGTTGATGATTTTCTGCCTTCAGCATCAGCTCATGAGGCAATCCAGTATTCCATGTATGTTTTGCTCCCTCTCTCCAATATTAAAAAAATTTTCTTTCACTCTTATTCTCATTCAGTAGTGGCTTAATAGGATAATGTAATCATAGCCTGGCTTGATAAATTTAATTTAGATGTGCCGCTTGGGTTGTGACAATAAGGTACAAAAGTACTTGTGTAGTTATGTCCTCTGGTGTCTCTATGGTGTAGCAAACTAACCACTCAATAAGAGGAGGAAGGAGGAGAAGGAGGGGGGAGTATATAATTGTGTTCTCATATCGTTTTGGTCAATCGAAAAGCAAGTTGCTAATTAAGAAAAATCTATAAGCTATCTGCCAATTGTTAGATATGGCCATAATATCTGCAGTTTGTCTTATATTCATCTCACATCATCCTTTTGTTTTGAAGGGATCTTTATGCAAATTATGTTGTGGAGACTTTGAGGCAGTAGCATTCCTTCATCGACTGCATATCCGTGGAAGTTTTGTATTATAAGCTTCTTATACTGAAGATTTTTTCAAACGGCTGTATACCGTCTTCTGTTGAAATGAAAAACAGTAATGTAGAAACCTTGGTGACACTCATTTAGATGCTTATTATCCAAGCTGAATGCTTACATGTGTGTAATAACAATCGTAAGCGTTGTAATGGTCCTCAATTTCTTATATGAATTGCTTTTCTTCAGTATGCTATTTATTATTTATTTGATTGTTATTATTAGGAAATTTTAGAAAATAACACCTCAATAAAACCCAAATTTTGATTATAACACCACAAAAAAAAAAAAAAAAAAAAAAAACCCAAAAAATTGGTTTCACCACCATTTAACTATGTCATCCAAAAAAACCGTTAAGTGGGTCCTACACAGTACACGTGTCAATCAACTATTGAAGTAAAAAAAATAAAAATAAAAATTTACAAAAGAAAACCATAAAATTAAAAAAAACCTCCCCCCAACTAGAAACCACCAGCCCGCCCCCAGTTCCACCAAAACTCAACCTGCAGCCCTCGAAACCACCCAGCGGCCTTCGAAATCCACCCTAGAGCCCCCGAAACCCACCCCACAACCACCTAAAACCCACCTCACCTACCTCCTTACAGCCACAAACGATCCCCAAAGCACCTCCTCTCCATTTCGCCCACCCTAAAACATGCCCTACCACGCCCGTCACCCCAACCCAGCCCCCATCGCTGTCTCCCTGACCTGAAACCGTCGCCGACCCACCCAGACCCAGCCCTGACTGCTGAGTGTTTTTAATTTGCTGTGGTTGTGATTTGTGGTGATAAGGTAGGGTTAGGGTGATTTTTGGGGAGGGGGAGGGGGAAGGGAGGGTTTTGCCGGTTTTGGTGGGGCAGGAGTGCCGACGGCTTGTGTTAGGCAGTCGGCAGTGGGGGACAGGTGGTGCCGGTGGTGGGGTGGGCTGCATTAGGTCGTTTAAGGTTTTTTTATTTTTTTTATATATATTTTTTAATTTTTTTAAAGCAATAGAATAGTGACACGTGTTTTTTATCCAATAAGTAATTGACACGTGTACAATGTGGGGCCCACTAATAGTTTTTTGGATGGAAAAGTTAAGTGGTGGTGAAACTAATTTTTTGGTTTTTTTTTTTTTTTTTTTTTTTTTTTTTTTTGGTGTTATAATCAAAATCATGATAATTTTTGGGTGTGATTTTCTAATTGTACCTTATTATTACTTCGTATTGTTTTTTATTGTGTGTTTTTGGGAACTTCTATTTTATTACATTGGTAACATGGTATCATACATTTTTTCTAGGCATTGTGCTCTGATGCAATGGCTTTGAATCCTTTGATTCGTCTTCCTTGTTTCTTGATGATGGATTTATAAATTGTTTGCATCTGGTGTGTTCTTTGAATTCATACGAAAATAAAGCAAGCGTTGGGGTCGTCGCCTGGAATTTGGAGGCCTTGTGCTAGTAAACAAATGAGGCCCTATAGAACTTTTAAAGGACTATTACTTAAACATTAAAACGATAAATATTAAAAGTAAAATCACTACATAATCAATATTAGCACAATTTTCATTCGTAATTAGTGTGTGTCTCAGGCGATGCGTTCAGTTGTTACTTTTAACAATTATGTATGGATAGTTTGTTTCAAATATGATTAGGTTGAATATTGCAAAGACCCTATAGATATGTAAAGCTCCACCAACATTTCCTCAGATGAAAATCTTAAAGTTAAGCTCCTCCAACTATTTCCTAGATGAAAACCGTCATGTGATAATTTTTTCTGTTTAAAGATGGTTAAATACAAAAATATTTAAGTAAGCTTATTAAAATCAAATAATGGTTTTTTAAAGGTGGTTATTTTCAAAATAGCCAACTATATTAATATAAAACAAAGTTTAGACTTGTCCATACTCTTAGAAATTCAACCATTTATGCCTAGGTTGATGAGCAAAACTCCAAGTGCAAAGGGACTTCGAATTACTTGAAAACGATGATTTAAATAGATAAAATGATGATCAAAGACTCAAATGACTGTTTTTTTTTTATTTCGTATCTTTTGTGTTGTTGTCTGGATATAAACCTAAGTATATGGTGGTATTTATAGGCTAGGATACAAAGAAGAGGGGTCGTGCAAAAAAAATTTGCACTGTCAAAGAATCAAATGCACCGTGACGTGGTGCATGCGTCAAGACGTGGTTCCTTGCACCGTGAAACCGGTGTGTTGGCACCGCGACACGACAATTTGGCAGATTTCACGCGTTTTTAAAACTTTCATAACTTTTGATCTACAACTCAAAATAAGACATATAATATATTGTTGGAAAGATCTTAAAGTATAATTTCCAACACAATTATAATTAGGTCAAAAATATTTTGTAGATTTCAATATATGGCTGTTTGGGTGCAAGGGTGTTGGCTTTGGGCTGAGCTTAAGTATTTTGCTCAAATCTTTTCGTTTTAAATTGGAATTAGGCTCGTTATTTATCTTGAAAGCTTATTTCTAGAACTATCCAACTAAATTAGATTTGAATCAAAGTTATTGGCCACAAAAATCAAATTTGCTCGGTTTTGGATAGTGGTCATGGAAAGATAAAATTGGGTTATGGCTTGTGGATTTTGGGGTATGAAAAGAGTATGAATGGATATTTAGGCTAGTAATGGATTGGATTATATGGATTAAAATAAAAATGGGCCAGAATTTCAAGCGATTCTTAATTCTGATGTGCAACTGTAGACACTTAATTCTTTCTTCCTAAATCTATACTCGGTGATGAATGACCTTTAACTGCCAATTGGTAGGTTGCGCATTGGAATTAAGAATTTATTGAATTCATAGCCTTTTTTTTTATTTCAATGCACCTAATCCAATTCATTCCTAACCCAAATCCATAAACCATAACCCAATTTTATCTGTTCGTGACCACAACCCAAAACCGAGCAAAACAGATTGTTTGGCTCCATAACTTTGATTTAAATCTTATTTGGTTGAATAGGATTTGAAATAAGCTTTCCAATAATCATAAGCCCAATTCAGATTAAAAACAAAGAACATATGGCAAAACATTAAATCTTAGCCCAAAACTGACATCCTTGCACTTAAATGGCCATATCATAAAATTTACAAAGTATTTTTAACCTTATTCTAATTTTTTTTTGGAAAGTATACTTTAAGATCTTTCCAACGATATATTATATGCCTTATTCCAAATTACAGATCAAAAGTTATGGAAATTTTAAAAAATGCGTAAAATCCGCCTAAGTACTGTGCCACGGTACTAAGCAACGTGGCACAGTACAATGCATATTATATGCCTTAGCTCCCTATTTTTTGTCCTTAATCATATAATGTCAAATCCCACTTAGGATGATTGTTAAATGTATTTACCACATGCTTAAGTAGGGGTACTTCAATTGACACATACAACAACCTGACTTGTTGGCGGTAAAAGGTCCTTTCATCACCGAATTTGGGTTGGGGAGATACTATTAGGTTTCTACATGTATCAACGCGACCTCCCTTCTTGAGGGCATATGCATATGGGTTGCTCCATGAGTTTGTGATTAAATCTAACCCGAATACATGGCTTGGTGGATATAAAATTTAAGGCATGCATATCTGTATTGCCAAGAGCGTTTTTGGGTTGGTAAAGCATTAATCCCTAGAGCTAGCCACATACGTAGTACACATAATTGTGTGGGAAAATAGGAAAGCTTATGTAATGCCCCTCATGATTGCTTTAAAGGAGCTTACTATACTACTCACACCAACAAGATGCATCTTTCTCTTAATTAGGAAGCTCATATGTTAAGATACTTCTCAGTTAAAAGTTCTTGGTTGGGAGTAGTCTTAGGATGGGTGTTCTCCTGGGAAAAATTCCCAGGGTGCGTATGAGTGAGGAGAAAATATGCCGGAAGGAATTGTGTTGGTCTATGATGGCAGTTGTTAGTCCTAGATACGTAATTCGTGACAATAGGCCCCACACTCATTTGGGGTCGGGGTGTTAAAGCTAAAATGCATGTGCATTTGTGACAATGTCAATTACATTGCAAATATTGCAATTCAAGAATATTTAAAGTCTCATCCTCTTACTTTAAATAAATATCGATCACTCAAATCGATAAATAATTAAAAATCCTCTCGAGTGGAGCCACCAAATTGTTGGCGTCACTTGTTGGCATGTGTGAATATGATTTGTAATCGTAGGAAGTAGGAGTTTACAATTCAAAAATAGGACGAGGGATAAATTAGTCTGCTACCAAAAAGTTTTAAAGGAACTTGTTAAACCGTTCGAGGATTTTACCGAAAGGGACAAAGCAGCCAAAAATTTTTGTCCATGAATGTTACACCTCATTCTTAATCCATGAGATTATTAACTCTATATGGTCACGAACCACGAGTAGAGAATTAGGGATGATGGTATGAAATTGAGTAAATGATACAATTTCGCCCATATTCTATCTTTATTGTGACAAGTATTACTTTCGATCCAAAAGACATACAGACATTATTTAATTATTTGCTCCAAACTAAATTACTAAGTTGGTTGAATATATAATGTCCACATAATTCTAAATATTGTGATCACATATAAAGTCCTTAAGATTTAAAAGATTCTAAATCAGCTGTCCAAATTATCTTATTAGGCAAGATTATCTATTATATATATTCTATTTTAAACATGCCAAAAGGTGATAAAAATAAATAAATTATACATTACTCATAGAGGATGCAAATTAATAGTATTTAAGGCACGAATTAAATCATGAATACAATGTTGATAAACACTACAATATAAAAATTAATAAAAAAAACTTAACATGATATTAGCAAAATAAACATTGAAAAATAAATTTACCGCTTATATTTCACGCGTTCCTTTAAGTTCCTACATCATGAATACAATGTTATTAGTAACTTAATAAAAATATAAATTAAATTGAAATAATTAAATTGAGGTAAAGTTTTGATTAGTCAAACCCTCACTAATTTAACCCTTCACGCTTTGCTTTAGGAGTAGTACTTTTGAGATATAACGTCTCTTTGAATTGCTAGAAGCAGGAATGATAGGGAATATTAAAGTGTAGAAATAGACTAATTTTGCATTTGGTTTGGTGCCTGATGAAAGGAATGGTGTGTTGGGTTTCGTAGAGTCCGACTCTACGCGGAAGGGAAATTCACCCAAGACCCGCACACTAATAAAAGCGACTAAGCATACAATCA